TTCACATTTGCACCCACTGTCCCTTAGGTAACCATTCATAGAGGAAACTTCACAAATAATTCAAGCTATGAATAATAGAGGCTGGCCAGGTATGATAACAGCTTGGCTTGTCCACCCGTATGACAGGTGGCTGAAGAGAAGAGGTCCAGCCATAAAATGACCCGTATATTGCTGCAGAAAAATCTTCCCCATTCTTGGCCTACCCAGGTGACTCACTAATTGCAACAGTTAGGTTACTGTGTTATTTTTTATTTCCAGTTAATTTAAGGAGTGTTTTTATAAGGGATCCATTTGTGTGTGTGTTTTTTTCCCCTGGTTATATTCTAATGTTCTTTTGGTCCATATAAACACAATCGACATTTTTTTTTTTATGAAATGAGGTTTCCATTTGACAATTATATGTGACAGTTATGCTTGAAAAAAATTGTTTTCTCCTCCTGCAATTTTTACAGATCTAGTTGAAATGTGCTACATGTGTAAGTTCTTGTTGTTGTTTTTTAAGGAAGGTGATGTTTTCATGGATAAAAATATGCCTAACTGACATAGCATCTAAACAAATTTAAACAATGTAACTTTGCTGAGCAATCAGTGCATAATTGATCACATTGTCACTGTGGTATTGAAAGTTGTGACTGACAAGTAAAATTTTTCCTATGAAAAGACAATATTGTATAGTTTCTTTGTGTGAACAAAGTATGAAAACACAAAGAAGATATATCATTGTTATACTGGTGGACAATTTGAAAGAGACCATGTTCATGTTTTAGTTATAGGTTATTCAATCTAATTTCTATATTTCTATATTAAATGAATTGTACCATGCTGAGACATAAAATGTTAATACAATAATGACTATATATTATTTAGAGATATGAGACTGTCTGAAGTTTAATTTGACTTTGATTAGATTTTTAATGTTTATTGCAGTTTTTTATTGAAATAAAGTTATTTTTTAGATAAACAAAATGAAACAGGTCAATGAAACAGGGGAAATGATTACAAGTTTGGTATCACGATTTTGTTCAGCCTAACTGAATAGCTTAGAGAAATGGATTCTCAATAGAGGGGAAAAAGGGAAAAAATTAACATTTAATGTCCTTTCCCCAAGAATTACATAACGAACAGCTGTCTCTAAATACTAACTCTTGTCTGGCTTGTTAAATATAGCTCATCTCCATTCAAAGGTCAACTTTTTCACTCTGCATGAATATGAATTGCTCCTGTACTCAGTATCTGCAGGGAAAATAAAAGGGAATATATATTTCCATTATACACTGCAGTACTTTCAGCAGCACAGATTAGGATTATGTTGACTCTGTGTGCATTGAATCTGGTGATATTACACCCGCGATTTCAACAGGACAGAGTCAGAGATAAAAGAATCCCTTTCACAAAACTATGCAAGCCATTCCAACATGGGCCCCATCCCCTCTAACAGTGACACTGATGATGAAAATGATTGATGTGTTCTACGCGGTTGTGTAATCGGTAGGGAGCTTTAGATGGGGCTGGAAAGGGGGGTGGTACATGGGCACTGACACTAACTTCAAGATTGCATAGGAAGTGTTCCCAAAATAAAGTAGGAAATTTCTGGTATTGTTTATAACAAGTTAAGTAGGTCTTTTTTCCCCCATTTCTTTGCAAATTTTGAAAATCTGTTGGGAGACAGTGTATTTGGATAAATGGATCCTTTCAAATTAACAGGCCCTGATAACTGTAATATTTGAATTTCAAACACCAGGTTTTCTTAGTTTTGAATTTTAAACATCAGGTTTTCTTACTTATTAATTTATCTATTTATTTATCTATTGATTAATTAATTAATTTATTTTGTTTGAATGTAATTATGAGATAAATACAGTAAGGTCGATTTAGTAACCAAAATTAATTTAGGGATGCTGACCAAAGCTCCATTATATCATAGAAGTCAGTAAGTTACACCTTACTTGATGAGGTGTAGTTAGAAGGCCTTCAGCATGGATTGCCTTGACTTCATAGATTGATTTAGAAAGCAAATAAGTAGATTTTATTACATTCTTCTCATAAATGGAAGAAAAGATTGGGTTATTACTGTATATTTACTTTATAAGGAGCTACTGTAGGTCTTTGATAAATGTGAGAGTTAGACTTATATAATCGTCATTTTCTGGAGTTTATGATTTATTTCGCAAACTATTTATTTAGTAAAGAAGAAAAAATCAGCTGTGTTATGTCACTGTTATGTTTATTATGTTATAAGAACAAAGTAGTACTGTTTTCTTCGAACAACAGCTTATGTTGAAATTGTTTACTTCCAATATTTCAATTAGCTAATGAAAATGCTCTAGACAGACATCAAGATATTGTAGGTAAACAATTTCTGAATTAGCTGCTGATTGAAGAAAAAATACTTCGTTATTGGTATTTTCCTTCTTTGTTTAGTTTAAAGCCTTCTTCCATGTTAACTGCATGTTTAAGTTAATACTAGCATGAGGCATTCTAGAAGTGCTTTAGATATAACATCTTTGTTACACAATAATAGATGCAGACAATATTTATGGCCAATTTAAAATTGATTTTATCAAAAAAAGAAAAGAAAGAAAAAAGACAATTATACAGCTTAAATGGTCCCCATTAATTGTGAATCTCACCATTTTTGAATAAGATATAAATGTACTTCAGTGATTATAGGAAAATTATTGAAATTTCCAGGTAAATTATTATTTTTTGCTATTTGATAGTCTAATAATCATTGTATGAGGGTGTCAGCTAATTGTGCTTTTAAATCGACAATGTGGGCGTTTGTTTTTTATTGATTTTTTAGTGCTTAACAGCACTATAAATCTATGAAATATGACAGAGCTTCACAAAACAAATAAATTACTTTTGGGTTGTTTGTCAAGTGTTATCAAGTATTTCATTTTCCCACTTACTGTTAAT